TATTTTTCTCTATTACACTGATAACCTCCCAATCAAAAACTTAATTTTCCAAAAACCTTGTTTGGTTGCACATGTACATACTTACTCTTTACACCCCAAAATAAATATGCATATTCTCCATACTGTTCCCTATACATTTCCTATGGTGCTGTCTAAGAGAATTTGTTACTTAATCAAGAGCCTTTTTAGTTGGTGATTACTTCCTCTACACTCTTGTGACCTTAATATTCAATTCAAGGCTGGTGTGGAAAGGAGAACTGAGATGGTAGTCACTCTCAGGAGTCAGACAGTTCAGCCAGTGATGATGCACAGCATCCAAAGACTTACATATCACATTGCAATGTAATACCACTTACTCAGCACATTGATGAATGCACTTTGTTCCTTATCTTGGAATCTGGGGCTGCTAGCAAGACATGTGTATTTTCCTACATGTTGCAGGCTGGGGCTACAAATGACAAGGTCAGAGGGATTGCTCTCTACCAAAAAGAAGTACCCAGGCGTCCGTTTCTGACAAGCATCTACATTTCCACCCAGTCCTTCTTCTTTCTCATTGATGCGCACTTTTTCTCCATTTCTGTCAATGTACCAAGTGAGGATTGGCTTTGGGTAGCCTGTGGCATTACAGTACAATTGTACTTGCCGGTCGTCATCTTGAATCACAGTTTTATTTGGTAACTTGCTGATGTCTGTTGCAACTAATTCTGCAGAAGAAAAACGTTACTGTTGATTGAGGGATTTTATTTCCGATATGCTGTGCCACAAAAAGCAATATACATGTAGTGACACACTTCTGATTTGTACATCATTACTGATACCTAGATACCATGAGTGCACCCTGGGACCTAAGGGATAAGGGTTCATTTAGCTACATAACAAATTGTTCCTCCAATTTTAACCTCACAAGACAAAACAGGCTTCAAGTTAAACCCTCCTCAGCATTAGGGATCCTACATAGGTTGTCAGTTCTCAATGAATTTTTTCCTTCCTCCAACTAACACTTCTACAGGCAGAAATACAAGAAACAAATGAGAGAAAAAAGTTTTGCATCGAGGACTGTCATCATACCAAAAATTTTATCATGGCACAAGAATACAACTGTGCCTCCTAAACTATATGCCAATGCTAGCATATAAATATGTAGGGAGGAATTAGATCCTACCCCTTGGGGGTTAAACTGGAGTCTGCTCAATAAATGCTGAACTTTACTTACTTTTGATAGTGATGTTCAGTTCATCAAATTCAAGACCATTAAGACCACAACGATAGCTTCCTGTGTCATTAAGCGTCAATCTCTTTATTGTCAATATCTTCCTGCTTTCATACCTATTGTTAGGTGACTGTATTATTGTGATGTTGACACGCGAATCATTTTTTTCAAAGGAAAGTTGATGACCATCTTTAAAGAGGGTGCTGGTGCAAAAGATGCCACATCGCTTGATGCAAGCAAGACGCAAAGTGCCTTGTTCATCAAACTGTGTTTTACTGTCTGGCTCAAACTGAACAAGTTTCTTTGATTTTGCTGTTGATTAAAATATTGGAAGTACTCATCACTTTTACATCTCTCATACAAGGAAATAGAAAGTAAATTAAAATTGGGATAACATAATTAAACCACAAAACATCTTTTATTCAACACTACAATTTTGCAAGGTAAAAAAAGTGGGAATTGCTTAGCGTCACAACAAATTATCCAAATTGACAAGAGCACAATTAGTAAAGGGAACAAACTTTTAGATCATCACAATAAATTAAGGGTGCAAACTTCTTATTCATAATTGATTACACTTCAAATTTGGTTTTGTCTCACTCTACACAAATTATGTTCATTGGAAGTGTTTCATGATAGTTACCAAGCTCAATTTCAAAACAGTTAGTAAAAACTTCTTACCAATCCGAATAAGTTCTACAATGTGAGTGTCATTTCCAACACCATTGTCTGCTTGGCAGCGGTAAAAAGCAGCAGACTGACTTTTCTCAACTAGAACTTGACTTGAGTTTGTTTGTTGTGGTGTAAGGAGAAGATTTGATGGAACATCTATCCACTTGCTTTCATCAGGTAAACAGTTTTCAACATCATCACATTTGACAGTTTGGTATTTCCATGTGATATTAGGAATTGGGTTAGATTTTTTCACGTCACAGATCACTTTTGTTTCTTCCCCTTCTTTAGCTACTGCAGTTTCTTTGATTTTGCTGTTGATTAAAATATTGTAAGTGCTCATTACTTCTACATCTCTCATACCGGGAAATAGAAAGTAAATTAAAATGGGGATAATACAATTAAACCACAAAACATCTATTATTCAACACTGCAATTTTACAAGGCAAAAAAAGAGGGAATTGCTTAGTGTCACAAATTATCAAAACTGACAAGAGCGCAATTAGTAAAGGGAACAAACTTTTAGACCATCACAATAAATTAAGGGTGCAAACTTCTTATTCTTATTAATTGATTGAATACACTTCAAATTTGGTTTTATCCCACTCTACACAAATTATGTTCACTGGATACTTTTCATGATAGTTACCCTGTTCAATTTTGAAAAAGGAAAAACCTCTCACCAGTCCGAATAAGTTCTACAATGTGAGTGTCATTTCCAACACCATTGTCTGCTTGGCAGTGGTAAAAAGCAGCAGACTGACTTTTCTCAACTAGAACTTGACTTGAGTTTGTTTGTTGTGGTGTAAGGAGAAGATTTGATGGAACATTAATCCACTTGCTTTCATCAGGTAAACAGTTATCTACATCATCACAATTGACAGTTTGGTATTTCCATGTGATATTAGGAATTGGGTTAGATTTTTTCACATCACAGATCACTTTTGTTTCTTCCCCTTCTTTAGCTACTGCTTCATCTCTTGCTTTATTTAAAGTGGGTGGTGCTGCAATGGAAAAAGGTAATGGTAAAGTTTTTCAATCAGGCCAAATGTTGTCTTGCACATCCTTATCTGAATAAACATTTAAGTATTGCTAATCAATCTCCTTGTATAGGATCCCAGTTCATTGTAATTTGCTGACACACTTTCCAATGCCATTTGAGCCCCGCCTCCCAAACAATTTGTCAAGTCTCCCAATACTTTCTTGGTACCTCTGACCAAAACTGGACAGAGAAAGGCACTGAGATGAATAGGAAAAACTGATTTAGAACTTGAGTCCATAGTCAAAACAAAGCAAGCTGTAATAGCTTTGTTACTGAGTGTTTCTGACCATACAAGTTTACTTAGATAATCATTGTCATAAAATATCATAATATTTTGCATTTTTTTCTTCTCTACATTATTCTTTAGTTGTATTTATTACACCTTCAGACACCCTCTGAACCTCAAGAAACTACTGCCAGCCAGCTCTCCTTCCTCTTAACTAAACTTATATTTGTTGGCCACATATTTTCATGATTTTAGATTTAAAAATGGCACATTCAAAAAATGTTGCACTTGGAGCCTTGCAAGGGGGCTGTTCAAAGAAGAGGTACAACAACAAACATGACAAACTGTAAATAAAGTACTGCACATACCAAGTATATCAAGGTCTATAATTAACTCTGCAGGTTGACCAATGCCATTTGTTGCAATACATTTGAACTCCCCTTGGTCTCTTGGATACGTGGCACTGTGTATCTCAAGAACATGTTTGGTGAAAGGAGTGTGCAAAGCAGGGACAGGGTCATCTTCATAAATCTCATAAACAGTTTTGCACTTGTCCTTGTCTGATGCGGAACAGGTAGTGGTGTTCTGTAACTCCTTGCCATGCCGGTACCAGGTTACATTGGCTTTTGGAGATGCTTTAGTTGTACATCTAAGAGTTTTTTTGGTCCCTTCATCGACTGTTTTCTCTCCAGTGTATGAATATATCAATGGTTGTGTAGGTGCTACAAACAAATCGAAAGATAGATTACTGTACATAAATATAACATCATGGCAAATTATCAAGGTACACTGTACTGTTCATGTTGAGTAAATAGAGCAAAAGGTTGATCAGTTCTCCAGTCTTAAGGCCCACAGCATTGTAATCTTTATTTAGACACGATCAATTCATCAGCCTATAAAAATACATATCACATACGCTAAGATATTTAAAATTAAAACTACATACTATAACACTAAAGCTGTTTTCCGTGAATGCCGTACGTTAGACTTAAAAAATGTCATTGATCTTACGTTTAAATAACCCCAGAGACTCTGTGTTCCTTATATCGCGTGGTAAACTGTTCCATAATGTGGCGCCATTGTAGCTAAAGCTTTTTCTGTAATAATTAGTGCGCGGTAGTGGAACATTAAGCTTATTTTCAGAGTCCCTGAGGTCATAAGCAGAGTCACGCCACGTAAACTTTGAATATAGATACCTTGGAGCTAGCCCGTGCAGACATCTAAACATCATGGTGGCTTTATGGATTTCCTGCTGGCGTGCAAGATTTTTCCACCCTAAAAACTCGAGTAGCTCAGTTGCATCAGCATCATAGTTAGAGAATGTCAACACACGGGCTGCTCTATTCTGCAATTTCTGCAGTTTGTCTCGTAGCGTTTTCCCACAGCTACCCCAAACAATGTCACAGTAATCAAAGTGAGGTTTTACTAAAGCTTGGTAGATGAGATGTAAGGTTGATGCTGGGATCAGGTGCCTAATTCGCTTTAGGGCCCCGATACCAGAGGCGATCTTTTTCGTTAGTTTTTCGATGTGACTATGCCAATCGAGTTTATCGTCTATTTGATTGAGGGATTTGA